AGCCGTGTTGCCTTTGTTGTGCCATATGCCTGCAATGTTTGTACTTATTAAACCTACAACAAGCATAGCCCTAAGCCCCCACATGAATAAACGGGCTAACAGAAAACGTTAGAGTACACTTTATTTATTAGATTTTTTTCATCACTCAATTCATCTTGAAGTAATGTCAATCTACTGCTGGATTCAATGCCTCCCCGTGTTGGGTCTCTTAACGGGGATTGTTTTCGCATCATCATACTTCACCATGCTGGTCGGTGCACGTCAGTCAATGGAGAGTGCCAAGGTCTGTCGGTTTAGACATCACTCGCCACGGATGTTAGCCGTGGCAGGTAATTGAAGTGAGGTCAACGGGGTTTTTAAAACACAATGCACACAACCACTGCCATCTGACCAGCCCTCCAAAATTGAATTAATTTAAGCTTTAATTCTGTCACCAAGATTAAACAGTTAGCACAACTCCTGGTGGAACAGTCGATGAAGGTTGAAGGGATGTGGTTCATGCCATTATAAATGAAACTTGGTTGACTGAACACCCCCAGATTGACGAAAGAGTTGAAGGAGTTGGTGACAGTTCGATCGGCCTAAACTTTCTGAAAGGTCTCTCAGGAGTTAGTTTTCAATTTAGCTCGCAGGCTTTTGCAGCCTCCCGCGTAATCCCAATGTGGACGTACCTGGGTTCAGGCTGCTTGCTGATCATTTCTTCTCTCGGAAATTTCACCACTCACAAAACTGCGGGCATCTTCGGCAGTTGAAGACCCCAACTGCCAGCATAACCCTGACTCGTCCATAACTCTCAGCTCCTCAGCTCCTGGAAGTTGTTGCGGTCGGAGTGCTTGGCAAATTCTCGAGAGAAGAAATGCTCAATACTTGGAAATCTGAACACCGCACACATTCAATTTTAGTTGCCTTGCCCTTTATTTTAGCTATGTATCCGAGCTGCATTCGTTTTAAGAAAGGACAATTCATCATGCAGTTTCCTATGCGAGAATTGTTTCAATAACAAAGACACAACGTGCGCAGAAAAAGGTTTACATCTGTACTTTCCACGGCTCATCCCTTGCGCAGTATATTACGGATTCGCGATCAATCACTCAACTTAAACGCTCACAAGCTGTGCCTTATCCACCCACCGTGTGCCTGTGTGTGTGTATGTCCACAAATATTTAAAGACATGCCAAGCCAAGATCAGTTAATCTGTCAGGGTTTAAAATTGTGCTGTTTGTTGTTATTGCTGTCATACCAAATGGAGGTAATAAATGCAATCAGCATTTACGAACATTGGTGAAAGGCAGGTAATTTCATCCGGGGATTCTTATACTGAAGCAGTCGAAATTTAAATGAAGGAGTTATTATATTAATGCACGGTGATGGTGTCCTTTTTTAATACGGAAAAGGGAAATATGTAACCCGTTTTGGGCCTGTGGCTTGGGCAAATTGTGTTACATCATGTGGAAAGAGGCTGCATAGTGAGACCCCGGGCTGGAGGCAATGGGAGGATGAGATCCATAGGTGTGAAAAGGTACAATTTAAAAATGACATTTCTCTGATGTCCTTGTTCATATGCCATTTGTATGGATCCAGAGATTGTAAATAACCTCGACTCTTAACGGAAATTCTGCCAGCCTTGGCTGAGATTCACTGCCTCGGCTCGATGGGAAGATGGAAAAGATACCTATCCTTTCTTTATTCAATCACGTCTCCTTCAACGGGTGAAACAAAACAAATGGAAAGTTACCTTATCGGTGAGAGAGAGAGAGAGTAAAAAATGTTTGATTCAAAATAAAAAAAGGTTGACCACCTCTTTACCTCCCTCCACCCACCCCCCCCGATGAAGTCGACTTGGCGAGTGCCGCCATTGTGGAACTTGTTGTTTGTCAGATGGTCGTGCGAGGTTGGGGCAGCCAGCCCGCCGTGCGGAGGCAGCTCGCGGTGAGCATCGTGCGCGGCAATCATTTCCAGAGTCGACGACATTCGGCGGGAGCTCTCGCAGCATACTAATGTGACCGGTCAGGCCAAGAAGCCTCTCGCTGGGACTTTATTTCATGTTGAGTTGACCTGAGGGAGGGCCTTGCCCTGCTACTCATTTGTGGCTGAATCAACCTTGGTGGGGCACTCCCAGGGTAATCTCTTTTTATTTCCGTCTTTCCTCCCTCAAGTCGTGAAGAGACCAGCTTCTTGGTTCAAACCTCAGGACCTGTGGACTGTACTTTATTATACACAAAATTGAGTTGTGTTTACTTATTGCCTGTTCATATATGGCTATCCAATATGCCTTTTATTATACACAACAACATAGAAATTAAAAACTAACAAAAATCTATATACAATTGCTGCCACGTTTATGTTTGAACGGGTAATCAATTAGTCGTTTTAATAAATAAGAGTCCGACGAATTTTTTGTGTAATATTTCATTCCTGTCACTGTTCAAATTGTCTCCAATCAATAGGCGTTGGATTAGTCGCGAAAACATTTCTTATCGTTGAGCTGCCAGGTTCGGCAGCTGTCGGCCAGGCGAAGATCATAGCCGGGGTCCGCGTTAAGTCTTCTCTCGCTGCCCCCTGTCAGGAAGCCCTCAAAACTCTCCGTTTGTTTGTGTTTTCCTTCCTGGAAGCCTTCCCCTTGTGCCAGAGTAGCCATCTTGGTGTGCACATGGCCTCTCTTGCCACTGCCTAGTAAAGCAACTGAGTGCCACATCGCTAACCGGGGGGGGAGGGGGGGGGGTAGGCTCATTTTGTGCCACCGCTGAATAATGCCCACGCACGGCTGATTCCGTACGGGGAAAACTCGCAACCCGTGCGATCCAGCAGCTGCTCTCCGGGCCGGGTTTAATCTCCGAACCCCAGAGACGTCAGGCATAGTATGCTGATAGAGGTATTTATCCCACTAACTCACCCGGCCAGCTGCATTATAATAGGTTATATATATGTGTTCTTCTTTCTCCAATAATTATTCATGTACTGTAATTTTTTTTTGCTGCCGCTTCGCAATCCTCTGTGATGACCTGTTCTATTATACATGGGATTATGTGCTCATGAAAAAGTATGTGGAATTAATATACGTGAAGGATACGCACTCCCGTATAAATATAAAGAGTGAGAGATTTAAAATAATAATGTGCTTGCAATAATAAACAATTTTAATGCATGTAATCCGAATATGTATTTTTGATGACCTGGGTTTTTCCCAGAGAGGTTCATCAATGAGATATAATTCTTAAAATGATGAATGATGTTTCGTCAAAATGTATTTTCAGCATGCTACTGGCATTCTTGCCTTCATAGCATTTTACCCTTCACGGAAAACTGTTCTTTATTCTTGACACGAATTCTCAAAGATGAAATCTTGCCACCCATGTAACTCAAGCTACAATAATATGTGGTGATGGGGTGATCCAGGGGTGCGTGTGCACTGCGGTCTGCCTGGCCATGGTCTGGCTGTGAAGTCTCCAGGGAACTGCCCCATCACCAAGGATTTCAGCCGCTGTTTGTGTGACATTGAATGCCAAAACAGAGCAAAACGACGGCCCTGCCTTTTAAGCCCCAGATTAACTAAACAAACCGCATTACCTCGCCTAATGTTAGCAGGTGGTCCCCTTTTTATTTTCATAAATAAACATCAGTTTATTGTTTATTTTAAATTCCCGAGCAGCGAATTTAATCCTTTTTCTGCTTATTCAATTACTTTAAAACATTTCTCTCACAGTGCTAAAAATCAATGAGTAATAGATGAAGAGTGGGAGAAATCTTCCGTTTCAGTGCCTCTCGTCACTGAGCCAGGCACAACTCTGCCAGGCACAGCTCTGCATTAAGCCCTGACTGCACGCCTCCTAATATATCATCAAGTGCAGCCCTTTCTACCTCAGCTCTCTCCAGAGAGATTTCACTGTCGAAATGGCCAAAACATTTTTACCCTTCACTTGTTGCTGGGTTTTTTTTTCTTCTGGAAATGCACGTGCAAAATTAAGTGTGTGCACCATTTTTGTGACTTTGAAATGTTTTTATTTAATTACCAGTGACTGTGCAAGAGGCTATTTAACTTAATGCACATATAAAATGGTGTTGACTTTGGTCAATAAATTTAATTTCTTCTTGTGTGCTCCTCAAGGGCCTGTATTTGAGCCTGGATAATATATATTCTGATGGGTGACCACAGCAATATAGTGAGTCGCTATAATCTGCAGCGCTATGTGGAAGGGGGTGGGGAGGCAGCAACATATAAAATTGTACTGTACATCTATGCACCCATGCCTATTCTCCTTGCTTTCAACAACAAGCACTGGCCATCGTAGACAGGTGGAACAGCCCCTCTGACCCACATGGTAAAAAAAGGAGGCCCTCGTTCAGCAGTAGATGGGGAGAGAGGGCAGTGCACGTGCACCTCAAGCAAATATAGCTGCTTCATTCACATTATTGGCTAGAAATTAGCAGCTATTTCTATATATTATTATTCGTATTATCATTATGACAATGCAATGTGTTTGTTCTCACAAAGCCGACAAGCCACAGGGAATGCAGTGATTGATGATTATGGCAACAAAAATTACCGTGATGGGCCACGCTGGGACAAGAATGAATGTGGAAAGTGGCCAAAAAGTAAGGACCACTGGGGTGTCTGGATCATTATAAATTGTGGATATTGTCTGGTTTTACTGCATGTATTTTCACAGCTGTGCTGTTGTAGCCTTCTGGTCTGTCTCTAGGTTGATACCGCATGTTGCTGTTGGGCACGATGTCTAGCGTTTTACTCCACGTGCTGGCAGCTTCTTCGGTTCGTCTCCCGGCAAGAGGGCGAAGCGCGCTTGGTTTTGCCAAAGAAGCTCCCAGCTCGTGGGGTGAAGCGCCGAGTACATCGTGCCAAAGAATATATACACGGCCCAACCTGAAAATACATCGAAGAGCCATTCATATCCCTGGTTTTTGTCAAGGCGAGTATACGCACGGATTGGTTTAACACACATGATTGCTCCCCCCCCCCCCTCATCCCCTCCTCTGCTCCGTAGTGCTGCACGTGTATGGGCTCAACTGGCAGTTCCAGGCGATGCCCGTTCAGCCGGGCGTGCGGGACGCCGGTCGGCCTGGCCACGTAGGCGATGCCATGGGCACAGCTGGAAAAGGTGGGAGATGAATGCCACGGTTGCTCTGATCTGTGGCGATCCTTTCGGCTGACTTAACACGTGGAGATGATCGTAACCGAGCGTGCGAGCGACCGATATAAATTCTAACGATGCGTTCTACAAGCACTAGAAGGCTGACATTTGCCAATGATGTAGTTGAGGGGGCCCATGGTTAACACGCTTGACATGCAGTCGCGTGTTCGATTTGTCAGCAGTAGCAGTTAAGGCGATGAGCAAGTTTGTTTAAACTTCCTCGCCTCTTTATGGGTACACCACAGTTAGTCAATGGGCAGGTAGTATGTGGGGTGACGCGTAGGTACTACAACAACAACAACCGCCATTCGCAACTAAGTGACGGGGACGTCACCACGACGCTTGTGCCAGGCTATGTGCACGTTGAGGCCAGGTAGGTACTCCCACCTCTTTAAAGACATATGGCACGGAAGAGTAGGTCACAATAATATCAAGTGAATGCCCTACTTCCAGCAGTGCATGACCAAGTAAATTGCCAGCCTACACTTTTACCTTTTAAAATTGATTTTATCCGTATACTTTATATATATAATACATATGTCTTTCTGAACTTGGGCCCGCAAAAATAATGGCTTCGAGGTTGATTTTCTTTGGTTCTTTCGGTAAAGTCACGTAGAATGAGAATAAAATATTGGAGCACTGTCGTCCCGACAGTTCTGTTCTTTCACCTGATGAAGGCTGTTTGTGTTGTGGCCGAAACGTCGTGAGAATTTAATTGCGTTATTTTATTTTATCAATTTATTATTTTATTCTCATTCTACGTGACTTTACCGAAAGAACCAAAGAAGATGAATCCTTGCAGTCACGAAAGCTTTAAATCGAAATTCGAGGTTGATTGTTTTTACTCTTAAGGCTTATCAGGCTAATGTTCCAAATCGTTTCCAGCATCGTGCTAAGTACTTAAGCATATTATTTGCCAAAACTATGTTAGCATAACATTATGGGTCCGTAATAATATAGCTTAATTGATGAATAAATGTGCATGCTTTACAAAAGCTACATCAACAGAATGTTATTGCTCTGACTCGCAGTTACGTGTCCCAGCCTCGAACCCATCGCTCAGCCCTCCAACCCCAAATGTTGTCAAAAAATTGGTGGTGGGACTCATCGAGAGAGACAAAAAATCTGAGGAATTTTAATGAAGACGTGACATTTATCCTTGATGCTATAAAAGTACCAACACACCCACCCCCTAGTAGTTGCGCTGCACGGGTTGCTATCCCATCATCCCCATCATCGGTGAACCAGGTAATTCACTTCCCATGGAGTAGCAAAGCCGATTATCAGTTACTCTTATAAATATGTAAATGTAATTATCACGTTGACTGTAAAATGTTTTGTCCCATTTTGAAAAATGCTGAGAAGGATTACTTGATTTGCATGTAATTGAAAGTATTTTTGAGAAGAGAAAAAAACCCTTCATCGAGTTCATTGTAAAATAATGATCTTGCAGAGCGGGGGATTAAATCCAGCGATGGTTGAGACAGTTGCTTTCCCATTAGAGATCGCGTTGGATCACTCTCGGTGCGCGTGGTTAATGTCCAGTTCGGTGTCTGACTTCAGCCCAGTTTTCTGTGGCCGGAACAGTGGCGAGATGTTAACTCCCTCGCTTGGTATACAGGAGGTCACGCGTGAGACTGTGCGTGCCATTGCGTAAGAGCCGCATGTCTTTTCCACTGCACTTCCGCCCGATGCCCCATCAGTGATAAGCAACACTTAAAAATTAACTGGAACAGTACGGAAATACTATTTCAGGAATAAAATGTCGGCGCGCCGCAATCATTTTCACGCGACTTTTGCCTTCGTGATATTGGGGGTGGCATGTGTGGTGGTGTCCAACAAGACCTACATCTCTGCTTTATTGACCTGGTCAAGGCCTATATTACCATCAGTAGGCCTGGGCTCTGGGCTCTTCTTCGTGCTTTTGGAGTCCCTGACCCTCTGCTCACGATCATTAAGGACCTTCATGATGGTGAGCGGACCCGGGTAAAACTACATGGCCGGGAGTCAGAGCCATTCCCAATACACCTTGAGGTGCGACAGGGATGTCCTCTGGCTCCCACATTATTTAACATCTATTTTGACCACGTAGTTCGTGAAGCCTTCAATAGCTGTACCGGGGGAATCTCCATTTGGTACAGATATAATGGGAGGCTGATCGATGCCCGGGTGCGGTCAAGGGATGGCTCCCTATTGCTCAACCACGTTATCTATGCCGATGATTTGGTAATAGCTGCTCATTCAGAGGAGGAGTTGGAGATGCTGCTGCTGAGACTGGAGCGTGCCACTAAGAGATGGGGCCTTACCATCAGCCCCACCAAAACTAAGCACCTGCCTGGGTATTTTGTACCATCGGACACTCCACCCCCACAACTCCCAATCGGTGATGGGGTAGTTGTGGAGAGAGTGGAGAGTTTCACATACCTGGGCAGTGTGCTTATGACCGGCTCCAGTTTAACAGCAGAGGTTTCACTCCGAATCAGTCGAGCGGCAATATATTTTCATCGGTTGCGTAACGCTGTGTGGAAGCTACCTAGTCTGTCGCTCCGCACTAAGCTTCAGGTGTTCTCGGCCATGGTCATTCCCTCCCTTCTCTATGCTTGCGAAACGTGGACCCCCCTAATGGAACATCTTCGCCAGTTATAAACATTTAGGCTAGCCTGCCTACGATCCATCTTGGGTTTAACCAGGCTGGATTGTGTGAGGAGCTCACAAATCCTTGAAAGATCTGGGCAAGTTCCCATCGGTGAGCTCCTCCGGCAGGCAAGGCTGCGTTGGCTGGGTCATGTAGCCCGCATGCCCAGCCACCGCATGCCGAAACAGCTCTTGTTCGGCCAGATCGAGGGGGCTAAATGGGTGCGGCACGGGCTAGAGAAGAGATGGAGTGATGTGGTACGGGAGGACGTGGAGCTGAGTGGACTTGCCGATGACTGGTACCAGCGGTGTCAAGATCGACCTCTGTGAAGGAGGCTCGTGAAGGACGCTACTGGGCAGTTGGAGGCAGTCGCCCTCTAACAACAACGGAGGGCGGAGAAGCGACACTCACAACAACGAGCGGAGCGCCGGGTGGCTAAAGCACATCAGGTTGGCACAGTAGGGGGCACAGGTGGTGCATCAGCCAGTCATCTCAGTCATCTCAGTCAGTCGACCCGTGGCACCTGGGTCTGCCCCGTGACCTCCTGCCAGCGGGCGTTCGACACTTCACCTGGCCTCAAGGTGGACGTGGCCTGGCACAAGCGTCGTGGTGACGTCACCGCCACTTAGTGGCGAATGGCGGTTGTTGTTGGTGTCCAAGAGACGTGCTTGAGTAGCAGCGCTCAGGGTTGCTCCTATACCCACAATCCCTACTCCAAGCCGGCCCCTAGCAGTGTTCCGGAAAACATTGAGTGAGAAATGAAGTCCCCGTGATCGGTGTGGAAGAATCAGTTTTAACATTTGTAGGAATCCCCAATCCGCTTCGTATTTCTTCAGGCCCATCCGAGCCGTTCCTCATGATACATTGCTGTGTGTGAGGAAGAACTTGACGTAAGGTTTTCTGAAAAATAACAACCTGTTGTGATTTGTTTTTCCTCAAATGAACATTACCATATTTTCAGAATTCCCTGGTTATTAAAGGTAATGTGGGGGTGCCTCTTCTGGTCTGGTAGATGTGTGTGTCTGTGTGACCACACTCGTATTGCTTTATTGACACCAGGCACAAGTTGAGGGTGAGCCTTACTTTACAGGGCATCGTATAATCCAGAGAATATGGTAACTTTACCTATAGCCTGCTTTTATTCCTGCTTCATGTTAAATTGTTTTTTTAATCTCTGTCTGTAATTATATGTTCGGTCAACCCAGTGCCTACTTCACATTTAACTGTGATGAGAGCCGTTTATTTCTCTATTCGAATTTCCCACGCTGTAGTTTCCCAATGCAACCATCGTTCACAGTGGTATGCTAATTAAACTTAAGACAAATGTTTCAAGAACAAAACAAAAAATCGTACATTATTTAATGGACATCTGTCCAGATTATTTTTAATTCCGTGACAATAATGCATATTTAATTTCCATACTTAAGACATGAGGCTGAATACAGAAATACGTTGTTAGGATGAGAAAATGGACAGATGCACGCTTGGGATGACATTGAGAGAGGGAAATAAGAACACACGGATTAGAGAACATACGTAGGTTAATGACATCATTATAACTGTTTATAACAGTAAGCAGGCTTGGGTTAGGACCCGTCTCGGCTGGAAAGGATGGCGGCTGATGGTCAAGTAGCCATGGACTGGAATTCATCTGAGAGTAAGTCCACTGAGGACAATAAGCGATGAAATCAGCTCGTGCGTGAATGCTCCCTGGATTATCGCATCGCGGGAGCATGAGAGATGATGACAGCTTTGGGGGGGGGGGGAGGCCTTCATCCAGCAGTGGATTGATCACGGCGGTTGATGATAGAGATGAAAATGTTTTGGATGTGAAATGGGAAGCCACCTTGCCTGGGGGCGGAGGAGACACTGCGGGTGAGGTCTCGGGTATCTGGCTCCTTCGCCCTAAGCCGGGAGCCGCCTGCTTACCAACGCATCTGGCAAGTCCAAACGATGCTAAATGTGTAACAAATGGACACCAAATGTCATTCCATCTGTTGGGCAAAATGTCAGCTTATTCTTCACTTTGTTTCGGCAAACGATTTGTTGACAGACCTAAGACGCTCGGGTACCCTTCTTTTAAAAAGAGATCGCCGTAGTCATTGAAGCTTTCTAAAACGTTTATCAGTGTGTGCCCTTATTAAATGGCTTTGTTTTGTAACTTGTGCGTGCATATTTGTACGTGTGGCAATGAATAAACAACATAAGCTTATTCTGAACGCACAAACAAAATGCCGATTGATTCTTTTCAATTCGTTTGACTTTCGTACGATGAACCATTTGTTCCTAAAAATTAAAACAGACAACCAGCCTACTTTGGTGGGAAATTATGAAGCCATTAATAGTTGGAAGCACATGTGGCAAATAAGCTGCGTGTCCCCTCTCCAAAGCTCCGTGTTCACCTCGACCCCTCATTCATCACTCAATGTCAGCGTGCTGCAGTTTGGTTTTCGGCGAAATCTGCCTTTTTTTTGTTGAGCCACCGAGGCAGCCTCTTGCGCAGCCAGATTATTGCTAGGCTCATCTTGCTGGTAGCTGAGATGTTTATGACCGTTCGACAAGGCTTGATTTGTTGACGTGACGCGCGGGATTGGTTTAGTGAATGTCAGCCCTTTGTCAGCTAGAGAGAGAGAGTGAGATTGACCACCCATGCAGAAACATAACTTGTGTTTGGCAAAATAAATAAATAAGTGTGAATTGACTCGCCTTGACTAACTGTGTTAATTGTCAACGGTTCACTCGCTGTAAATCCTCCACGGTGTCAAACGGCGTGAGCCCTTCGCGTTGCCGTTACAATGACATTTGACAGTGACAAGATGCACGCCGTGGGTCTCGGTAGCCGATGCTCGCAACATTCACCACGATGAGGCAAGTGTATGAATTTTAACGTGCGCTAAGGAACGTGGGCGACTCCCCTCTCCTCCCTCCACGCCCCCGTACACATCACCTGGTCAAGCTGTTTGTTCAACAGGATCTGTCATCGCCTGATGATAGACCCCCCCCCCTCCGCTCCTTCAGCCTTCAGCCCCACCACCCCCTTAGCAGCCAATCACAGGTCATCTTGTAAACAAAACTCTATGTGTACGAGAAGCACAGTTGTCCGGTGTCTCTGAACGTAAGGTTACGTGACACAGTTGTGCTCAAATGAGATAGGCCCGACATCCTGGTTGGGCTGAGCTTTTTTTTTTTGTTGAGCTCGTGGTTTAATCTGGGCATTTTGGCTTTGGAAGCGTTGTGGCAAATGGCAAACGTGCGTCTTATCACGGGCATTAAAGTTACAACGGCGGTGGATGTGGTGCTTTACACACACACTCGCACGAATCTTTGTTGTCGCGTCAGCTTTTTTTTAAGTTGGAAGAAAAGCTTAAGCAGATCAAAATATTGCTGAGGATGAAATAAAAGCAGGTGACTATTTGCAATGATAAGCCTAGGGCCCGGGCTTTGGTCAGGGGAGTTTAAGTAGCAAGGCATATTTGTTTCTGAGATTGTGATGTATTTGTAATGTTTGGCAATCTGGAAGGAAAACAAGAAGCAATCAAATTATTATCCAACTATCGTTTGAAAAATATTTGAAATGGCATTTGTTTGCGCTAGTTGGCCATCAATAAACCTCTAAGGTATCGGCTGAATGTTGACCTTTGTGGAGCTATGGCCTTGTATTAGAAGTGCATACAGTGAGGGGAAAAAGTTTTTGATCCCCTGCTGATTTTGTACGTTTGCCCACTGACAAAGAAATGATCAGTCTATAATTTTAATGGTAGGTTAATTTGAACAGCGAGAGACAGAATAACAACAACAAAATCCAGAAAACACAGCATGTCAAAAATGTTATAAATTGAGTTGCATTTTAATGAGGGAAATAAGTATTTGACCCCTCTGCAAAACATGACTTAGTACTTGGTGGCAAAACCCTTGTTGGCAATCACAGAGGTCAGACGTTTCTTGTAGTTGGCCACCAGGTTTGCACACATCTCAGGAGGGATTTTGTCCCACTCCTCTTTGCAGATCTTCTCCAACTCATTAAGGTTGTGAGGCTGACGTTTGGCAACTCGAACCTTCAGCTCCCTCCACAGATTTTCTATGGGATTAAGGTCTAGAGACTGGCTAGGCCACTCCAGGACCTTAATGTGCTTCTTCTTGAGCCACTCCTTTGTTGCCTTGGCCGTGTGTTATGGGTCATTGTCATGCTGGAATACCCATCCACGACCCATTTTCAATGCCCTGGCTGAGGGAAGGAGGTTCTCACCCAAGATTTGACGGTACATGGTCCCGTCCATCGTCCCTTTGATGCGGTGAAGTTGTCCTGTCCCCTTAGCAGAAAAACACCCCCAAAGCATAATGTTTCCACCTCCGTGTTTGATGGTGGGGATGGTGTTCTTGGGGTCATAGGCAGCATTCCTCCTCCAAACACGGCGAGTTGAGTTGATGCCAAAGAGCTCCATTTTGGTCTCATCTGACCACAACACTTTCACCCAGTTGCCCTCTGAATCATTCAGATGTTAATTGGCAAACTTCAGACGGACATCTATATGTGCTTTCTTGAGCAAGGGGACCTTGCGGGCGCTGCAGGATTTCAGTCCTTCAAGGCGTAGTGTGTTACCAATTGTTTTCTTGGTGACTATGGTCCCAGCTGCCTTGAGATCATTGACAAGATTCTCCCGTGTAGTTCTGGGCTGATTCCTCATCGTTCTCATGATGATTGCAACTCTACGAGGTGAAATCTTGCATGGAGCCCCAGGCCGAGCGAGATTGACAGTTCTTTTGTGTTTCTTCCATTTGCGAATAATCGCACCAACTGTTGTCACCTTCTCACCAAGCTGCTTGGCAATGGTCTTGTAGCCCATTCCAGCCTTGTGTAGGTCTACAATCTTGTCCCTGACATCCTTGGAGAGCTCTTTGGTCTTGGCCATGGTGGAGCATTTGGAATCTGATTGATTGGTTGCTTCTGTGGACAGGTGTCTTTTATACAGGTAACAAGCTGAGATTAGCTGAGATTATGAGCACTTCCTTTAAGAGTGTGCTCCTAATCTCAGCTCATTACCTGTATAAAAGACACCTGGGAGCCAGAAATCTTTCTGATTGAGAGGGGGTCAAATACTTATTTCCCTCATTAAAATGCAAATCAATGTATAACATTTTTGACATTCCTTTTTCTGGATTTGTTTGTTGTTATCATGTCTCTCACTGTTCAAATAAACCTACCATTAAAATTATAGACTGATCAATTCTTTGTCAGTGGGCAAACGTACAAAATCAGCAGGGGATCAAATATTTTATTCCCTCACTGTAGTTCTTGTAAAAGCACAATCAGGAGGTTTGACTGATTTTCTTTGCATTTGCAGATTTTCTCAATGCTTTTTTTCTCAATGATTTTCTGAATGTTTTTTTTTTACAACCGCTGTGAAAAGAAGAAGAAAAAACCGGCTCGCTCGTATCACTCGCAAAACATTGTTAAAACATTTTTTGGGTTAGATTGCTTAACTAGAAATCTGTCGTTAACCCACCATCACCCGACACAGATAATTCGTAACTATTAATTCAGCACATTGGTGTGGTGGTGAGTAAACCCACAACATTTACAAACGAATAGGACGTTTCACTGATAATTACAACCAGCTTCATCAGGCGATTTGCCAGAATTGCGACGAAATATTCCCTGCTTCCGGTCTTAAACAGAGCAATATTTACACGATTTAACTAAAAAACCTTTTACTGGGAATAAAATTGGTCGCGAAAGCCTACGCGTTGAATTAACTTGTCCTCGTTCTGGCCCTTGTTGTTTTCCAGGCAATGCCTCGTGGGATTCCCGCAGCATCGATTCGGGCGAAGTGGAGGTGGGCCGGCGGGCAGTGCAGGATGTCCCCGCGGGCGTTTTCTGGAGGTCCCAGATCTACTTGGACCAGGCTCAGTACCTTAAGTTCAACATCTCCCTGGACCGCGACGCCGTGCTGGGCGTATATGGTCGCAAGGGGCTGCCGCCCACACACACGCAGGTACCGCCGCCATACGCGTGACTCCATGGACAATTACTACTTTCTAAACTATTAAACTATATAAGCTGTTCTTTTTTTTTTAGCTGTTAGGCACACTGAGCTGTACAGTTTTTATTTCTTTCAGAAGCAACCTGGCCACAGATGATAGCTCAACAAAGTGGCCTATCACGTATAAATTTATGGCAGACAAATACTCTTAAGAGCACGTTGATTCTAAGTTTAGAGGGAAAACCCAGAAGACTTGGATAAAAAATCCACGCCACCACGGGGAGAACATACAAACTCCAATTATACAGCAAGTGTCAGGGTCAGGATCGAACCCACGACCCCCTGCATACCAGGCGAGGGAGTAAACATCTTCCTTTGTCCATTTAGCCAATCCTGCAGCAAATTCCACATTGCCCATTTTCCAAATTCCAGCATTCATCGAGATTTATATTTTGTCCGAAAGAAGATTGGGGAACGGGAAATTGGAAAAGAATTTCCAGAAATTATACTTCCTCAATTTCCCCAGTAATTTACTTTCAGCGTTTATCTATTCAAATGAACATATTACGGTTTTCCGTTTATGTTTTTTTTCGCACGCCGCCGCCTGCCAAAAACGTGATTTATTTAAGGACGCATTTCGCGCAGGGTGGGGCTGTTTGAATGGTACAATTTTGGTTATCTCCGCATATCTCAAATATTTACGTAGCATTTTAAAATGTTACGCCGCATACATTTTCCTGTTAAAGAGTATATTTCTATGATGTGCCAATAGTAAATTTTGGTCCTAAAATTACAGCAATTTATGGTTACTCACACATGGGCCAATGAGCACAATACATATATGATTGTTTCATTCAAGTAATTTTTCACGTGGAAATTCATTATCAATGTTAACTGTCATTCTTCCAGTGCTTGCCTACGAATGTCATACATGGATTTGAACAGTGCATGTGCAAGTTTATTTTAGGCTTTTTGCGGGTTGTGCTGTACAACGTGCGTTTCCGGATCGTTCTGTGTATTGTTCAGCACGGTGCCCAACGTTTCGCCCCGTGCGCTGGAAACATCCTGAAGTTCCACACCACTGTCCTTTCTGCACCTTCCCACCATGCATGCCGGTTCCCTCTCTCCTCTCATTGCCGGCCGTGACACCTTCGCACCTTGCTTGATCTGCTCCGCAGTACGACTTCATAGAGCTGCTGGCGGGCAGCCGGCTCGTGGGGCGCGACCGGAGGAGCCCCGGGCAGGCCGTGCGGCGGAGACGTAACGTGGGAGGCGTGCTGCTGCTGCAGAGAGCCGGCTTTATTCAGTTCATGGACCCGGGCATCTGGCACGTGGCCTTCTACAACGACGGCCTGGAGCCCGAGAGGGTCACCTTCGTCACCAGCATCGCCGGTAGCGGCGTGTGACGCACATTGCCGTGGCATGCCGGAGATGAGCCGTTCCTTTTTGATAGTCAACCGTGGGTGTAATGGGGACTGGGTAGCTCAGTGGGACCCCCGTTAAGTGTGAGTTTGATTCCCCTGCCACGAATAACATCGGCAGTGAGCAATATCTGAACGGATCCTGGACCGCACCCACCGCTGTTTACCAACCCGTAGAGACCAGTGTGGTGAAGTATGGTCAAACAACCTCCATGGCTGACGCGGAATGAGCAAGCGTTCTTCCTGCAGTCCATCAACAAAGTACTGTATATATTTCATAATTATTTAATTGTAAGAGTGAAAAGTCACTGTTCAATGAATTATACTCATTCATGGTCATTACATGAAACAGATTTGAATCGAAGGACATCCATTCTCATGTACTAAGCTCACGTATTTGTTGCAAGCTTTCGAGAAGACGTGATTCAATGGCTGTATGCATCCTTATTACAACTCTTCTAATTATTGGCCATGCTTGGGATACCTGTTTCTCATGCCTCTGTCCCAAGTGAGCACTGTTATAAATGCATACAATAATGGGAGGTAAATAATTACGTTTTAATGTGCCAGGTTTATAACAAATCGGTCTGCAAAACGCACTAATTATGTTATACACTGTGAAAACATGTAATGTACATTAGCCACCTGCCTGTGCATTATCCTATTCACCCTAACATAGAAATCTTTCGTTTCAATTTAATGGAGAGCATCAGAGGGGACCCTGTTAGTCTACCTCCATGTCATTTGTGTACCTTTTTTTTTTAAAGAATGTTTTACAAGTTCATTTAATAATGATGGGTGTAGCGGTGGCACAGCGGTGGTTCATGCATTGCGCCCATGAACTCAGTGACCTGAGTTGCATTCCCGGATATGGCTGACAATCACCGGTGAGTGATATATGGATTGGTTGTGAGCCTCCTGCTGTCACCAACCCTGCACTTACTATCATGGTCAAGTATGGTCAAATACCCCATGACTAACACAGCATGGGAAGGCCTTCTTCCATTAATGGATTGACAAAGAGCTGCAAATATTAGAATTATTCTTATCATAATACTAATTATCGGCATATTGCCATGGTGTAATGGTTAGCACACTACACTTGCATTCCACAGATCGTTGGTTCAAGCTCCCTGTGCTGCATTTGAAACAATGAGCATCCTTAAATACCCCCTCCCCCTGCCTCTGTCCACCAAGAAGTGTACACCACAGTCGATTGGTAGGTCGTGTGCGGTGAGATAAAAACGTACGTCATCCCACCTCTTCAAAGATGTTTGTTCACAGTAGGCCAATTATTCTTCTGCCAGGAGTGGCATGAGCAAGCAATTTACAGCGCTGCGCCTTTACCTGTGCCAGCAGAACAAAAATTGGCAGCAGTTACGGCATTATCATGACTTCGGAGATGGATTATTCGGATGCCTGGGATGAGTTTCACAAATGCCACCCGGTTACCACTGCACTTGTGTTTGCATTGACCCCTCTTCCGGGCAACTGTGCGGTGAAAAACATGGCAACGAGGCACTTGATGCAAATGCGCACGCTGCAAAGAAAAATAGATATGTTATCACGACGCAGCCTCTCCTTTCATCCCGTCTTTTAATTAGGACACATCAGCATCGTCGCGGCGCCCAGCACACCTTCGCTCGAGGAAATCATCGCTGCCGCTGTTGTTTGGTTTCTTACGACGGCCTCGGCAGTCGCCCCTAATTTGTGTAATTTAATTGAATAAACAAAGCGGTTTAGCGCAAATATATCGTTGGTTGCAAATATTTGCATATCATCAACCATTATTATCGCCAAAAGGACACATTAGCATTCTCGGCATAACAAAAACTGTGCTTTACCATGCTGCGCTTTAATATATTATCTATTTGAAAATGCTGGAAATTGTTACTGGATTAACTCCCTTGAGGGCAGTTAGGCTTCTGGAGACTATTGTACGATTAGACAATACTATTTCCAAACAACACTAAATTAATCAACATTTCTAACACTGGTTACAATTTTTATTGCTTTCATTTTAACCTAGTAAAGAACAATGCATATATATAATTGAGCAATTTGTACTATATTGCTTTACACTTTCATGCTGCACAGAGGTTTAAGGCTAAAGTTGATTGCAGGAAAATCATTTTAAATTGGGGTTTAATGAATCATCATTTTTACTTTGTTGCAGAAGACTATGAAAATATATTAACGACCAGAACCCTTCAAACGAGTATATTGCATTGTCTTAGCCTGCTATGCAGGGCAGTCTCAATGCTGTGAAATTGATATTTGTTCAAGTGCCATGGAAGTCTCATTTCACAAGAAGGACTTTCATCCTAAAGAAACATATACTTAATTTACATGTCCGATGTCAACCCACGACTGGAACTGTAGGCCTCCCCCAAAAGCCATTTCAGTTCATAGGCGTTGTTGATCACGTTTAACCACGCTGGTCAGTGCAGGTTGCAAAAGGAAAGGCGGCAACCAGGGCGATTTGATACATCACTCGCCACCCGGGTTCATAACGCAGGGCGCACATCTCTGCACGACAAAAAACCACTGATTGATAATCGTTTTCATTTAAGTGAGGTCACTGTGTGGGTATAATGTAAATGTTTAACTATAACCCTCCACCACCCGACAGAGCCAGTCATATCAAGTTGTCACGTGGGCAAATTTGTCAATTGAGTTGGTTTGTCAGCAAAGCAGAATGCAAATATTTTGGACAAATTTTCACGGTATTTTGCTGCGGATTTTCATCCGGCATCATCGGTTGTTAAGAAAAGCTCGGCTCTCGTGTGAGAAAGAGCTTCCTGATCACGGTCCCTATGCCTCCACGATGAAAACCAAACGAGACAAATCATGGTTCACAATATTGGTCATGATATCTTACGCGTAAAATTCACTACCGCCGACACCACCACCACCACCACCACTGTTTCGTTAAAGAAAACTACCACAGTAAAATTCAGGGAGCACCATTTACCCGCACGTAGCAAACAATAATGCAAGTATTGGACGGCTCTCGACTTTGTTTTGCGCAGACCTGGGCACGACAAACATGCTAAGCGTGAGCCGCCTCTGCACAACCCTACAGCGTAACCTTTTTTATTCAACGGGAGGGGGGTGGAGGCGCACGAAAAGTCAGGAGGGACATGACACAGTCAATGTTAAACGAACTTCAAAGAGAGACGTTAAAGGGCTTTAACAGAATGAGTAACGGTAACCAATCTGCGTGCGTCTTTTGTGCGTTGTGCCCTGCTGTCATCAATCACCCGCTGGACTCTGAGAATTTAGAATGTGGGGGGATGGGGGGGGGAGGTGCAGGCTAACCGTTCAGCAGAGGGGGACTCTGCCCCCACCCCCCCCCCCTGGCCCACCTCCGCCCCCTGCTACTGGGATAACAGCTGACCCATCATTCTGACCACGTGCCATCATAAGAGTAAAGGCAGCTGTCGGTAGTGACGAGTGTGTTTGCTGCCCACGTGCGAATGTGTGTCCACAGCGGCCGTGGACGAGTGCCCCAGCAACTGCAATGGCAACGGGGAGTGTGTGGCTGGGATCTGTCATTGCTTCCCGGGCTTCTTAGGGCCGGACTGCTCGCGAGGTAACAGGGGGGCTCAACCGAACATTTGCACGTAACAACAACAACAACGATTCACACAACAACACCTGAGCATTCACACGCAACAGCAACAACGATTCACACAAGCACAACAACCGAACATCCACACGCAACAACAACAACAATGCAAATGCCAGAGGTCAGAGGAAGGGGCTGAGCTGGTGACGATGAGACCCTGGGTGTGTGTCTAGCTTTCAGCCGCCCATGATTAAACCGGATTTTCGTGTGGTGGCTCTGCACGCCTGTAATCCAGCGCTGTGGGGGCGAGGATTAGTGGATCGCACGAACGTTGTGAAATGCCTTTCCCATGGGCATCGAGGAGCTGTATGGAATATAATGTTGCCCCCTCCCATGCGTAGGGTTACATCGAGGGCTCCGGTTTTCTCCAAAATGTATAAACACTCACTAATTGGCTGAAAACATCTTAATATATAGAGAACTGCAGAGCAATTGTTGGCAGCAGCTCACTTGCCAAACAGCCTTCCAGCTTGTCTGTGGTGCCCCGGCGATTATTAGATGCAAATTGATTCAACGACGCTCTATAAAACTAATGGTAAGGTTTGTTTTATTGATGGTAATTGGCCTGGTCACCAGCGACAGTAGTCATCGAAGCAAACTCGGAAGTAGCTCTCTGTTGTCCGCTTCTGTGGACCAGTTTCTCACACGAAGGGTTGCACTGCTCTTCAAGAGATCCGAATGACACTTATTCTCGTGATGTGATGCCGATAGGACAATCAGGATGAGAGTTGGGGAAAATGAAAACCGATACAGAGCAATAAACAAACAGCCCTTCCATTCGTTTCTGCACTTAAAAGTAAAATATGTCTCAGTCTATCATCCCTCGGGCTTTCACTGCAATGTAGTTTACATAGTTTAGAATATAAATTACAGATTTCTTTAAAATCATGACTGAGTAATACATGACAATGATTGTCTGTTTTGCCTCATAGATTTTTTTAAAGAAAGTGCATTCATTTTATATTTTTCAACTACATATTTCAATGGTAGTTGAATGTGTACATATACAAACATGAAGACAAAAGAATCCCCCATGTGGCCTTTAACAGACTTTTGGGGCTGTTAGCAAGCACCGATGAAGACTGGCACGGCACACGAAGGGGTGGGCGGCTAACACCACGGCCGACCGACTTTGTATCCCCAATGCAGATGTGTTGAGACACGGCACCAGGTACTTCTTTAAGGCAGAATCGACCTAGGGGAGACTGAGGACAGGTTCAGACATTTGCTACTTATTTGTTTGTGAGCAGTAATCGAACTCGGGTCTTCAAGTTCACAGCGAAGTGCCCACGAGCCAATGCGATGTGTATGTATTCGTCACGTGCTACGAAATGCTGTGTGTGTTGTTTAAGGTGAATTGCGGCTTGTCCGCTGCGCGTGTAAATATTTGCGCACAAAGACAAAGAGCCTCCGCGTAGCCTCAAACAGACTTTTGGGGGAAGTGCTGTCAGCGAGCAGCACCTATGAAGGCCGGGCACAGCAACAATGCGAGGGGGTGGAGGGGGGGGGGTGTGACCTGGCACTGCGCGCCAACACAATTTTATTGGTGCTGCGAGTGACCAATAAATGTGAAATGTGAATTTCGCACGTGCGTTTCATGGGGAGAGATTTAAACAAAGGTTGACCGCGGAGATGGACACACAAGTCATTGTGCCCCTGCCCCTGAGGACCCCTTCATCACCGCTTCGCGGCGTCCGGGGAAGATAACTAGCCTAATTGATGGACATTTTTTAAATTTACAGGAATTTTATGCATAAATAAAAATGCAAAAACGCGGTAATTATGCGTTGTTTATTTGTCCCTCGAGTGCCGTGTTCGTTGGCTGTGGAGATGAGTTACGACTCGTAGTGCGTCGTGCTGCCAACTTTTGGTTTATATATAAGCCAGACGATAACACCTCGGCCAAGTCTCTTCCTGCTTCTTCTTCTTCCACCTAAAAAAAATCCAAGCACATGCAGAGCTGCATGCTGCTGTCAATGGCAACACATCATCTTTTTATTCTTTATGTACCCGGATCAGCTTTTTTATCTGTGTCCAGATAATACAAACGTATTTGTAGTATGTAATAAGTGCACATTTAAAATATGTTTAATTAAACTCGGATAGATGTATGAAATGTCACGTGATAACAACAAATGTTTTTGTTGGATTGATCCAGAAAGGTGGATGTCACGTGAAGTGATGTCACTTCCCTGTCATGATTTCTGTACTTTTTACCACCAAAATTGGCATCGTGCGCATGACATCGCTTTCACGGAACACGACCTGACTTGTTGAAATCCTGGTCAGAGGTCGAACCACCCATTCTGTCCCTCTGGGGACAGAGGAATGTGGAGTTGTCACCAATGACTTGAGCTTGTAATTAGGAAATGAACACTCCCCAACGCTCACTTGAGAAGAAAACCACTTTGATGTTTTTTTTTACTTTACGATTAGTAGATGTCATATGCAACATTGCTACGCCCATATCACCCAAATGCATCGGATCTCGAAAGCCAAGCAGGTTTGAGGAATGAGCCTCGTTACTACATGTATGTCTGGGAATACCAGGTGGTTTGGACTTTGGCAAGTACAGCAAGTGGTCTCATGAACCAATCTGTTTCAGAACGTTACATTTTAGCCCTGTGTATGAGTAAAGGTGCAGCCCTGCAATTTGTCACTCAGGCCAATGTTGACAGAAGGGCTTACACCAGAATAAGATTGAGAGAGAGAGAGAAAGTCTCCAGAAGGCGTTTTGTTCCGTTCTTCCTCGCTGGACAAACGTCTTGGAATAGGTGGGATTAGTCATACTTTACGCCACCACGCAGCCTGTTTATCGACTAACTGTGGTGCACCCAAGATACGATTAGGTGGACAGAGGCAACGAGATTAAAGAAACTAGCCCAATTGTTTTAACTGCCTCATTGAGAGATTGAACCGGAGACCTCTGGACTGTGCTAACCAGTGTGCTCTGGCAGCATCCCTAACGCGTTTTGTTTTCTAAAGGCTGTCAAGTTTCTCCCACTAGGCAAACACCCATTAATGGAATTGGTTAGGACATTACAATAAGGATCCCAACTGAAAATTTCTCGAGACTCCCCGTTAATCATTGCCGGGTAAACAAAGAGGGGGCGTTGGTGGTGGGAGACATCAGTCTGACGATCTCTGTCACAGGTGGCACAACGTTCACGAGCACCTGTCCCGCGTGTCTGTCCGCGTGTAGCCTCGTGCCTGGTGCTGTGCAGCGGGAACGGCCTCTACCTGCGCGGCCGCTGCCTCTGCCACAGCGGCTGGAAGGGCTCCGAGTGCGACGTGCCGTCCGAGCAGTGCCTCGACCCGGCATGCAGTGGGCACGGCTCGTGCGTCATGGGCAGCTGCGTCTGCCACCCGGGCTACAAGGGGGAGAGCTGCGAGGAAGGTGGGCGGTAGGGGGCGCGGGGGGTTGTGCGGGGGGGGGGGGGGGGGCGGCTTCGTTTGCTTTGTGGTGCATCTCGGGCAGAGCATGTGCCGCGTGCCCCCCACACATACGAAGTGGCAATGAAGCCGTAGTGTTCACGGCGGTGCTTTCAGTGTTTGCGCTGCAGGATTGTGAAGAGAAATTTAATGTGCTTTGGCTTGGCCTGTAACGATCATACCCCCCCCCCCCCCCCCCCCCCTTTGCGATTTCATGAATGGCCACGATTCTTGGTCACGATGCAATTAATCTATTCTGTTTTAAAAACATCGTGGTGCATTGTAGCATCGCGAGTAGCTGCAGGGTTCACGTGCAGCACACAGTATGATCCCATTTATGGATACCCCATTTACATAATGGGCAGAAATGACAGGTAAAACAACATTTTATTTGAAAGCCTCTACACGTCTCCAACCAATGTCAATGCCCTTATTGAATCGTTCAATGCTCTCCCCTGCGAGATACGGAGCCGTGCGCTTTCAGCAGCATTCAATCTGCTGCTGGGAAGAAAGTGGGAGGGGGATCATTAGTATTTACTTGCGGTATCTAGAAATGGATCACCTAAAGTCATTGATTCTCACGCAGCACCGTTTGATGCACGTATCGCTCGCATGAGAATCGAATTTAATCGACAAATTTTTGCATCGTTACCCCCCCCCTCTTAATTTGCGCCCATTTTATTTTTGGCGGGGGGGGGGGGGGGGGGGCACCACAGCCAAAGCCACAGTATTCGCCAACCTTCATTAGCATCGACATATGCGCCGAGTTATTATTGCAGATTAACGACCGCAGCGATGCCAGAAAATTAATTGAAAATCATCTTCCAAGTTGGGTTTTGCTCCGATGCACTCTGCGAGTGTCGCTTTTTTGCACATCCCAACGTAAGCCGGCATGGCGCAGCGCAGCAACACATCATCATGGCGGCAGCAGCAGCGGCAGCCATCGGGCACCTTCGCGAGATAACCTAGCACACCCCGCGAAACATATCAGCGTCGCGATTGAACCAAGCGCTTGAGGGCATCGGCTTAGGTGAGCAGCTTTGTCGGTCAGGTGGGGGGAGCGTGGTGGGAACGTCGTGGGAACGTGGTGTGGAGCGTAGGGGGAGCGTGGTGGGAGCGTGGGGGGAGCGTGGGGGGAGCGTGGGGGGAGCGTGGAGGGAGCGTGGGGGGAGCGTGGGGGGAGCGTGGAGGGAGCGTGGAGGGAGCGGGGGATAGGTCAAGAGGGCCCCACAGCTGGACGGCTGCTTTGAGCCTTCCCCCATCTCGGATGACCTTGAGAGACTCCTTGAAGCGCACTCCATCAGGGGCTGTCACCCGCGAGACGGCGTGACCTCCGCTCGTCCTGCCTTTACACGCCAACCATCCTTCCCCATTTACACGGCGGCCCCAGCATCAATTCTTATCTTTGATAATGGCACTGCCAGTCTCGTTAATAGGTGCACAACGGTGGCAAAAAATTGCAAGACCGCGTTGGCAGCGGTGCACAAGCACAAATAATAATTTAAAAAAAACGCAATGCATCATCCAGTAACATTGCCCAAAAAAAATATTTATTATAATATGCAGCGTTTTTGCGCAATATCCAGCCAGTTAGTTAAGTGATAGAGCGAGCTGCTCACAATTGTAAAGTTGCGAGTTAAAATCCTGGTTGTGGGTTAACTTAGCACATTATCGTTATGGGGTTTGATAAGACAGGTACTCATTTGTTGGGAATTCAATATTGGTTGTCCAGTGGATAGACTTGACCCCATCATGTAAACGTGGAATTTACATCACTGTCTTAGGAATGCAGTAAAACTGCACCGCCTAAAATTTCATTTAAGCAAAGAAATCTCTTTGACTTTTGACTTGGCTCAATGGTTATTCTTCAAATAGGGGAGATCTCTCTCTCTCCCTCTCTTATTTGTGCTTGTTACTTGCTACGAGACAACGGGAAGTTCTGTCGTAGCAGCTCATGGGTGGGGATGTTGGGTTTTTGGCGTTAGAACACGCTGGCACTTGCTCGTGCTTATTGTCGCTGGGCTGGCCGCCTGCACCCTGCTCCCTCTCCTCCTCCCTCCCCCATTGCAGTGGACTGCATGGAGCCGCAGTGCTCTGGCAATGGCGTGTGCGTGCAAGGCGTCTGCATCTGCACGCCAGGCTGGGGAGGCAGCAACTGCGAGTCTCCGCGCCTCAAGTGTCCCGACCAGTGCTCGGGGCACGGCAGCTACCTGGTGGAGTCCAATTCATGCAGCTGTGACCCCAACTGGACTGGCTCCGACTGCTCTGTCGGTAAGCACACGGCGAAGGTCGTGCCGTGGATAACACTGATGGTTAAAAAATATATATATTTAGTCAAGGCAGTGCTGTGGACACAATGGTGATTTTCAAAAAGTACTTTATTTATACGGTGGTCACTGATATGCTCCAAATATAGATATTGGAAGACAATTCCAGTGACCATGCCTTATTTTGTTTTGCATATCCATTAATTTCATATACACTTGTAGGCGTAGGGACCTCCCTTCCTTCCCTCACTCCCCACCGGGGTGTGGGGAGGGGGCCGGAGACTGAACCCCCAACTCATGTGACCTCACGGACACTGCAAGGTCGTGTATTGTTGCAGAGAAAGTATTTTCCTCTGCAGTTTAATTGCAGTTGCGTTCATAGGTGTCATGTAATGAGATGAAGAAATGTCTATTTTTTGAAGTCTCAAAGAGAAGTGCATAATTCCATTTTTGACAATGGTCTGTGTAAGAATATGTCACATTATTATTTCTGAGATGTGTTTTGTTGCACGACAGCAAAACCAGCGTTTTTGTTACATCTTTGAGCTGGAATTTTGATCAATATTAAAGCAAAATCAAATTTAAAATGGTCATTCTTTTGGAGCTATTCGTAAACAGACAAGCGAAGACTTTTTTGGCGTCTTAATTATAGAAGCATCTATAAAAAGGTGTGCAGCAGCAACTATTTACATGACCTGATGTGGAGGAAACATCAGATACCATAGAAACTTGTCACAGTGACTGAGCACACATAACGGGAAAGCATAAAACGAAATAAAAGCAACGTTACAGGCCTATGCTGACCGTGTATTAAATGCATTGGGGTTTTTTTTCATTATTTAACCGTCCATATGGATGTATGATTCACGCGGCGATGTCTGTCACTGATTAATGTAACCCTCAGAGTCGCATTAGGCCAAATTAGGTGCCATTATAATTTTTTTTCATTATGGAATTTTTTTTCTTAAGCATTGGTGACTGTGCTGAGGACATCAAATTCACATTAAATGAGAATCCTTTATCATAAGTGGTGACCCAGGTCCTGAACTCAAGGATCTCAGAGGTGCTAATTGAGGACTTCCATGCAGCCCTGAGTCACCTAGCTTGTCTCTGATATTATTTTCTTACATTTTTAGGTGCTTACTGTACATATCTCCTGACTTGTGTACGTTTGATCATGTCGCCTTAGCTGTGTGGTCTGTTAATTTGACATCATTATCCATTGCAGCTGCACCCAATTGGTGTAAAAGGCTCTGTTTTATTTTGGAATACGTAACGTAGAACTCAATGCCAAGCAAGTCGGTATTAATTTGAGAAAGCACGTTACATATTTTTGTCTGTCCTGGTCTAATTGACGAAAACCCACAGAAGCCTTAAACTGCTCATTTCATTTCACTCATTATTTCAGTCTAGATTGGCTCAAGCAGTCAAACATTGAGTCAAAAACTCTTAGCTAATGAATGTTGGTGTGTGGGGTACACACTCCTCACCCCCAGTACCCATAAATGTCATCAGTGAAACAAATCGGTGAATTAATTATCTTTTTATATGTAATATTTATATATAAGATTTAACCAATGGACATGTTTGGTGTTTCTTCGTGCATTGCAGTCACTCCGAACATTACTAAATTATCTGAGTCTGCGCCCTCATTCCGACTCGTGCCTATGCATTTTGCAGGTAGTCGTAGTCATCGTCACGCTTGACAATTTTTGTCCACTCGAAGTCACCGTTGGCGAATGTACGAAGCAGTTCGTCGTCGAATATCTTTTGCTCGCCGACTTTCGTTTTACGAAATTAACGCCGCCGAAAAGAGGAGAGCTCGCCCCAACGCGCAGTTGGCGACGCGAGATCTTTAGCGTTGGCGAGCGGTCGGGGACTGGCAGCCTGCGTGTCCCTTGTGCGGTGGAACGTCGCGCCGCACGGTGACACGCACACCGCGTGCAACGGAAGACCAGGCTTGGGTGGTAAATCATGAAGCCCTTGGGGGTGTAGCCAACGGTGCAGCCGTCTCCTCTCTGTGTGGCTCCCGTGCGTTTTTTTTTTTCTCACGGTAATTTTCTTTAGAGGAATTGCAACTGCGACAGAGTAATAATCTGACTTATCAGAGGTAATATTATCGAATTAGGTCAGCGTTTGTACAATTAGTTTTTTTTTTTGCATTGCAATTATTTTTTGTTGTTTTTAAAATTCTGCGAGAGTTCCCCTGGCATGGAATGAGTGCAGCAAATTATGGCATGCCATAGAGGGAACGTAATACGGTTTTTAGCGAAAGAGCTAAATTTGTTTTAATTAATGTACCAATATTTAAACCGGCTGAAATCAAATTGGAATGCGCACGAGCGATTTTTAAGTTTTACGTTTTTTTCTCTCTCATCGTCAGCTCGTTTGCGATGTCTGCCAGCGTTTGGGGCGCGTGATGCTTTCATTGAGCTTTTACAAAGGGAAACTTGAGAAATCTTGCTTTCGGCCAAGTTACAAGACAACCATCCAATGCACATAACGAACAAGTTACTCGTTTGTAATTCTACAATAGCAATTATAAAGGGGTCAACGTAAAAAAAAGTATGATCATCCTTTCGAGTTTTGTTATAAAAATAATAAAAAATAATAATACACCACAAGCTTGGCCTAATTGTCAATATTTGTTCAGAGCATTGTTTAAGGCATATTTCAAACATCTATGTTAACTTTTTAGACCAGAACTTGCAGTGCAAGTGACATAACGATCAGAATGACCAATCTGCTGTATTATTGCGTGTTTGCATCATTATTTTGTATATATCACATGCCTTAAATGGATGGCAGAGTCCGAGATTCCGTTGATTTTTGTCGATTGGCTGTTATAGTAAAGAAATAAGCTCATGAACGATATATTTGTCCACGGTTTTAGTTAATCATTCTGCCATGATACAGCAAGGGTACATATATACATTTATACGTGAATCTAATTTCACAGCCAAATTCCCGATTTTGTTGAATGACACCTCTTGTTATGCCTGGCTCGGAGGGAGGGGGGAAGTAATGAATGCAATGTTTTAGGAAACAATGATGTTATTTCTGTCATACATGCCCACTCTGTGGCTTTTATGGGGCCTTAGAGGTCAGTGACTTTTATTTTTAATCAATAGCCCCCCTGTAGGATTCAGACATATTGCAAGCACTGGTGATTCCTACCCTGTTTAAAATGCCAACGTACCCACGAGACGTCCAGCACTCAATCTTTGCTTGAGCCAGACTGATGTGACCTTGATCAGTGACAGAGGTCAATTATATTAAATAAATGGCTTTGTAGGATGTACAGTGAAATTGCAGTGATGGCAAAGAAGAAAAATACAAGGTTGTCAACATTTCGGTCGATAGGCCTTCATCAAGACTTATCCTGATTAAGTTCTGATTAAGGCCCAAAGTGGAATTAGTTTGTTTGTGTTAGCGATACCGGCAATTAATTACAAAAACATTTCAAGTGCCACAGTGAATCTTGACACCCCCAACCTGGACATTTATCTCTTAATGACCCAGAAATCGCACGTTGTTAAAAGTCTATTTTCGAGGTAATTACTCAGAAATTCTTAAGAGCATTTTTTTTACTACCGGCGCATGAAACCCGCAAATGGGATAATCTTCTTTTTTTGTTATCTCATTTACCTCTGAGAAAAAAAGCTAATTGGTAACACTATTGCAGGTTTATCAACAACAAAATCCACGATAGCATGAAAACAGAAAATATATATTTTTTCCCCACTTTATTGTGGGAAATAAAATCGGTCAGAAAATAATAAATGTTTTTTCCGTGATTTAGCCACTATATCACAATAGGGCTTGAAGGAGCACGGACTTATTCTGGAGGCTGCTGCGTTTGTGCATTTGCCTTTGTTTGTAATGTTTTATTTTGTTGAGTTGTGCAATAAATTAATAAACTCCACAAATAACAGAAAATCATTTATGGAAATAATGTTTGCCAATGGGGAAAGAGGCAGCATTCAAAGTGACAAAGCTTTATTGATTCCTACATTGTTTATAACTGGATCTTCCTTGTAAATTAAATATTTAATCTGAAGGAGCTCTTGTATGGTTCTAAATCAATAAATATATTGATGCTGATGCTAATGATTTTGATAGCATTGCTACCTGGTGCCACAGTCATATAATCATAAATGCGCTCATTGGAATTTCATCCATGCAGGCAAGTTCTTCAGATACATTTTGAGGAATTTCATTATTTTCACTTTGCAAAATGCTTTTGTTAGCCAATATGCACACTACTCATTATCAGCAACAGCAGCAGCAGCCATGAACAAATCCACTGCTCGACAAAGACCTCTATAACCCATCACCATGTCTCACGGTCATGCGGTGTAGCAATTCATCTGGCTCCTTCACACGAGCTGATTTCATCTCTCCTCCTCCACAGTGGACCCATTCCATCCCTTGGCTGCCACTCTGTAATTATTCTTGACCCATTGGTCGTTATCCCATGCAAAGATAACCCTGGCCCCATCACACTTAGCCGTGAGAGTGATTGTCCTTAACCAGCGTATGTTCTCTAAAGCCATGTGTTACTATTTTTGTATCTCAATGTAATTCCAAGGAATTTCCCCTGCACGCTTCCTTGTACACGTGTACATTTGTGCATGAATTCCTGCAAACATTGCCAAACGTTTGCAAAGGGCTACATTTATTTACACAGGTGTGTAATGAGTATTGGTATTCTTACAAGAAGGCCACCCTTAGCCTTTCACCAATTCATTGCTTTACACATTTGGATGTTGGAACTGGAGCCTGCTTGATGAGTGCTGATGTATCCATGGGACAGAGGTCTCTCAAGCCACTGTTGTGCATATGCAAGCACGCTCATTGTGTGGTGTAAATTATAACTTTTTGGCCACTCCACCACCCGTCTGATGAGGGCTCTCCAAAATCCGGCAAAATGTTGGGATTGTGGTCTGAGGTATAGAGAGACCGAACGGATTTATTTATTTTAATCTATTTTCTCTGTTTTGA